ATATACTTTTAGAATAAAAATTAAACTATTCTCAAGCTTTGCTGGACTCTTGCAGGTAGCAAGTTATTTGCCACGGCCTGGCTCCTGGTCTGGGCTCCAGTGTTCCCCAAATCGTGTTGGGAACATTTGAGAATAGTAATTCACCCAGGAAGTTTAATTCACTAATCCACACGTTGATCATTCATTCATTACTCAACAAATATCCATTGGGCTGGTAATAGAAGCTGGGAAAACAGCTGCTTTCATCATTTAAAAGAACATCACAGGTGGGTGAATGATATCCATCGTTAGCATGATCCCAGTTTCAAACAGTAGCTAAGCACTGAGAGACTTCATAACCAGTGGCATTAAGTGAGGAAAAAGCTGGATCCATGGAAAACTAAGCCCAAGGGGAGTCCCCATTTTTATTAATTGGAAAATCAGCCATCAAAGCATTTCACTCATAGTCATGGGAGTCTTTGGGAGCCTGTGAATTTGGGGAGACGTGGTGAGGATTGACTAGGAGGGTGATTGGTATCGCAGGGCTTTAAGAGATTCACTACTAATAATTTCTGCTGCTCTCATTAAAAAGAAGGAGGGAAGGAAAGAAGGGACAGAGGGAAGAAGGGAGGAAGGGAAAGAAAAATAATAGATCTCACAAAATACCAACAGGTTGGGCCTCACAGGATGGTCTCTCAATTACATGTATTTCATGCAATTGTCTTTTGCATGTATTTAATCCTCTATGAGAGGCAGCCAGAAAGCCAATTTGTCAGGCCATTTGTGGCAACTTGAGGTCCCGGCTGATAACCAGGCATTTTGGTTAAATGGGGGCCCACCCAACAATGCCTGCTAGTCAGCTCTGCTGACACTGTGTTAACTCAGGAAACTCTCCCACACCCCAGAATTCGTTTGTTCACTGGACGCCTCAGATGACTTCCTAAAGGAGCGAGTGATGAATCTTCCAGAGAACATCGTGGCGGGGACCCACTATAGCCATGACCGGTTCCTCCAAACTCTGAGAAACTACCGGGACATCAATACCGAAGATGAAACAGTCTTCAACTATTTTGATGAACTTGAAATCCACCCAATACATATTGGTATGAAATGAACTCAAGGGTAACGTGAATGTGGAGAGCTACTCCCAAGTGTGAGGACCCCTGGGGAAGGACAGGCCACTATAGCCATGTGCCAGGGGGCTCAAGAGATCACAGGATGAACAGGGCACTCCTGGGGAGTCCTCCTACTTGAGGATTTGTTCAGGGATAGGGTGTTATTGTTACATGAAAACATATGGGTATGTTATGAGTCACATACCAAACTGGCATTTTAGTGAAGGCACTACAAAGATACATGTGTGTTCTGCTAGCCACTTCCTTAGCAGCAGCACTCTGTCCCCATAGCACTACAGGGCACTGGCACTCTGTGTAGAGCTCCTTCTGGCCTTCAGACCAGCCAGCTACCCCCATAGCTTCTCAGAAAAGCAAATAGCTCTACATTGCATTCCTACTTGTTTCCTGGAAACACTGAACTCAGAGCTTAGCACACAGCAACGCCCAGTAAATACGATCTCTTATCAACCTCACCGTCATCGTTGTTGTTCCTGGCTCCAAATCTCAGCTGTCATTACTATTCCTGCTCCCCTTGGCTTAGTGAACCCCTGAACTTCCTTTCTGGTTTCCTAGATCGTGACCCTTGTTCTTCCTCTGAGTTTGGTGAGAAACCCTTGGCCTTGTGGAAGCTCAACAGCCAGGCCAACCCCCTGGGCTTTCCAAGGCCTCTCTTCACCCCCAAGAGCCACGTGAGACAGCGTTTGGACCCTGCAGTACTGGGGGGGTGCCTAGAGCTCAGGGGTAACGTCAGCATGAGGCAGGAGAACTGATTCTAGTTCTGGCTCCTGCCTCACTTTCTCATCTGTGAAATAGGAAAACAATCTCTACGTAGGGTTGTTACAAATGATAAGAAATAAGAAGCATCTAGCACATTGGAGGAATTCTGGTGGTCATTAATTTTGTCATCAGTATCTATGCCAAGACATAAAATGATGTTAGTCAGAAATAAAAAGGCAACACAATTTATACATGTGCACATTCTTCTGTTTTGCACCCTAGGAAGTGATTGGGTTTTGCCCTCATCTGGGTGTGTCTGTGCATACTGGACACACATTTGATGTGTAAAAGCTAAGGATTCGACATGTAATATGGAAAGTAGTTTACCCTACTTAGAGAACTAGGAAAGAATGGTGAGCAAATTTCACAGATTTCACAAAAATAGCGATTATCATCTTTCAGTAGAGCCCAGGTAATTATTTATAGAAAAATCAGGAGAGCGCCAGGGAGAAACAGTGAGAAAGACAGAAATGACGAGAAATGAGTGGCCACTGTGTTCCTGTCTCAATATGTGCCTGTCATGTTTGGCCTCATCTGCACGCTGTCAACAGGGAGATAATGTAGAAGCAAAGGGGAAAAAAGTGTCATAAGGAGGGGTGTGGGGCAGGTGTCAAGGTCAGGAACACACCTGGCCTCAGAAAGATCTGGAACGGGGCTCTGAAAGATGCTGGCACCTGCCCCCCTGTGTGCACCTCTGGACCCCACTCACTTGTCTGTCAGGGTCTCTGCTCTCACTTTGTGCACCAACATCTCCCTCTCCAGTCTGGCCCCCATGGTGGGCTGGGGCCCACCCCCCAGTCTCCGTGTTACCCCGGGAGCAAAGCCCAGAGCTGGACATGACTCCCTGGATCCTAACTCTACTTTCTTAGAAGGCAAGTCAGGGTCAGAGTGTGGTCAGGCGCCCGCCCCACTGTAGTTGACAGCTCCCCGTGCCCCAGGGTCAGGACAGAAGTATTGCTGGGGTTCCGCTGCTCTCCGCAGCACATTCTTCAAGCGTGAGCCTTTTCAAAAACATTTCAGAGCACTTCAAGCACATCAAGGTTGTAATTACTCTACTGGGGGAATCCGCGAGAAATTATTTAAATGTCAGAGCTCAGGCAACAAGAAGGAAAGAGTTTTGTTTACTGGCTTTTGTCCGTTTGTTTGTTTGTTTGTTTGGGGGGCTTGCTTCTACCCACCAACTGATACAGTAGCCCTGTTTGCCTTCTCTGCCCACAATAGAACCTGTCTATGTGTCTAGTCCGGGTCAAGGTTACCCAGCACAAACACGGGGCGGGGGAGGGGAGCAGGGCAATGGTTGTGCGCAGGGTTGGGCGAGAGGGAGGTCCTCACCGGGGAAAGGTCTGGAGGTGCTCGGCACCAGAATGCGTCCGCTGCACACCCTTCTGTGCAGATTCCT